AGAAAAATTGAAATTGAAAAAGAAAAATAGAAAAAAGAGAGATTCAGATTTGAGAGAGGGAGAGAGAGAGAGAGAGAGAGAGAGAGAGAGATGAAAGTGAGAAGAAATGTAAAGGAGACAGAAGTTGTGAAAGCAGAGAAAAAAAGCGAAGTGGACAAGAAAAAGGTGAGATGTCATCAACAGGAAGAAAGGCAGTAAGAAAAGGTCAAGAGAGATTTAGGGAAATAAAATAAAAAGTAGAATGCCAAGATAGAGGAATATTGAGGATCATTAAAGATTCTGAGAGAGAGAGAGAGAGAGAGAGAGAAAATAGAAGAAAATATAGAATATGTGTGTGTGTTTGTTAGCCTCTTTGGTCTACCAACGGAAATTTCAATGCCACAACTTGGCGGAAGCACTAGCAGTCAACTCAATGTGGTTTGAACTTCCGAAAAATTTTGTCTCAGTTATTAAACTCCGTAGAAAGAAGAAGAAAGAATGAAAAGACCATAGGTAGGTAGAGATAGAGAGAGAGAGATGAGAGAGATATGGAATGATGATATAATGAATTTTATTCAGAGAAAGAGAGGTATTTTTCTGGAGTGAAGCAGTTAGGTCAGAGATTAACACTATATATATGCATATATATATATATATATATATATATATATATATATATATATATATATAGCAGGGAGAGAGAGAGAGAGAGGATATGGAAAGAGATTGATAAAGTGAAATCGAAAAAGATTTATAAAAAGAGAACAAAGAGAAAAGAGACATAAAATTTAGAGAAAGATCAGTATAAGAGAAAGAGTGTGGAAGAAAAGAAAGAATTTCAGCTTTCTTTGTCGCTGATTCAAAGTTTTATTTTATTCCTTTTTCAAATAGGAAAACAGATTAGACACAACACAACACACACACACACACACACATTTGTCGACACAAATGATTCACGTATATTTTATATTATATATATATATATATATATATATTTATATATATATATATATATATATATTACACATTGAGTTGACTTATTATCAAATTTTGTATTTACATAATATTTATAAATAAAATATATCGTATATATATATATATTTATATATATATATATATATATATATATATATATATATATATATATATATATATACAGTGGGGAAATAAATATTCGTACACATGAAAAATTGTATTTTTATAAATTTAAAAGCCTTAACTAAAACAAATTTTGATACATTTTATGTGTAAAGATACATTTTATTAAAAATAGTAATAAACTTAATTCTTATTCTAACAGAAATTAATGCATTTTTTTTCATTTTAACTGATGAAAAAAAATTTCGTACAAAACAAAAAAAACGGATTAACTTAATTTAATACTTTGTGGAATATCCTTTATTGAGTTCAACAGCTACCAGTCTATTCCTGTACGTCTCAACTAATGATTTGCACACATTGAGTGGTATTTTTGTCCCATTCTTCTTGGCATATTGTCTTCAAATTCTTGATATTTGTTGGTGCTCTTTTCCCAATTTGAATTTTCAAATATCGCCATAAATTCTCGATTGGGTTCAAGTCTGGGGACTGACTTGGCCATTGCAAGACATCAACGTTACTTTCAGCTAACCATTTCCTTGTAGATCTAGCGGTATGCTTAGGATCATTATCCAGTTGGAAAACCCAATCAGGAGGTAGCCAAAAGTCTCTCAACAGAACGCATTAAATTGTCTTGCAGGATTTCTGGTATCTTTCGGCATTCATCTTGCAATCTATTATTGATATTCTGCCAACACCTTTTGCAGAAAAACAGCCCCAGATCATGATACAGCCACCACCAAACTTTACAGTTGGCAACGTGTTCTTTTGTAAGTAGGCTTCACCGTCCTTCCTCCACACTTGATTTCGATAATTATGACCAAACAACTCTATTTCAGTTTCATCTGTCCATAGTACTTTTTCCCAAAACGAATATTCTTTATCCTTGTGCTCTCTAACGAATTTTAGCCTTGCATCTAAGTGTCGTTTCAAGAGGAGTGGAGTTTTCCTTAGGATGCGTGATTTCAGACTGTTTTTGTGTAGTTCATTACTTATTGTACGCTTGGTTACTTTAATCCCTAATGCACGCAGATGTTCCTGCAACTCTTCTCGGGTAACCTGTGGATTTTGTTGGATCTGGCGTCCTAATATCCTTGCTGATCTTAGAGAAATATTCCTCGGAGCACCTGTTCATCTTTGGTTTTCGACGCTGTTACGAGTGTTAAACCTTGCAATGAACGATTATAGTAAAAGGAATATTCAGATTGTTAGAAATCGTTCTGTAACTGTTCCCATCTTTCCAAAGAGACAAAATGTGTTGTTCTTGTGAAATAATCAATACTTTACCTTTAGGCATTATTAGAACCTTCTCGTAAGACTAGAAATCGCAGAATGCTCTGATAATGGCTAATAGCGTTAACTATAATTACTGATAACATTATTAGAACATTCTAGAATATACTTTTTCCATAATTAATTGATTATTTTATTCTAATAATTGATTTGTACAAATACTTTTTCACCAGTTAGAATTAAAAAAATGCATTAATTTCTGTTAGAATAAGATTTAATTAAGTTTATTATTATTTTTTAATAGTATGTGTCTTTATACATAAAATATGTGCTGATTTGTTTTATTTAAGGCTTTTACATTTATAAAAATACAATTTTTCAAGTGTACGAATATTTATTTCCCCACTATATATATATATATATATATATATATATATATATATATATATATATATATATATATATATATATATATATAAGCAGAAAAGTATATATATATATATATATATATATATATATATATATTCAATTTAAATTCACGAAAAAACATCCATTGATATGAAGCCCTGAAGATGGTCTCAGATGAGACTGAAAGTACTTAATCAATTTTCTACAATATTTAACAATAAATTTGTGGATCCAAAATGATTAAAACTAAAATAAATATAGAATGTGTAAATTATTTAATCAAACATGCTTGAATTAAAATATGTTGCCTATATATATATATATATATATATATATATATATATATATATATATATATATATCCTTTAATAAAAATAAAAAATATATTGATGTTTAGTTTTAAATTGTAGCTCTGTTATATAGGGCAGTATGTCACACACACACACACACACACGCACGCACACACACACACACACACACACACACATTATATTTAATTTATATATATATATATATATATATATATATTAGAACCTTGAATATGTTCGCGTTGTTTTTTCTAACAGATGGCGTTCCCAGAACTGCGTGCATGTAGTTTCAGATGGTAACGCATCTATAAGGAACTATTATACGCAAGCCTGAAATTCAGTGTATGTCATTCCGCTGAAGTGTAAACAACTTTGTTTTTCATGGCGTTAAATATGTCGGATTTCGCGCCAAAGAAAGTGTATTTGTAGGGAATTTTACTGCACTACTTTATTCAAAAGAAATCTGTAACTGAAGTGCACAGAATTCTTGTTGATACTTACGGCGACCATGTCTGTCGAAACAACATGCAGAGATTGGTTTAGACGCTTCAAAAATAATGATTTTGATGTTGAAGATAAAGAACGCACTGGTGCACTGAAAAAGTTTGAAGTCGAAGAATTGGAAGCATTACTTCATAAAGAGTTATGTCAGGCGCAAGCTGAACTTGCAGGGTTGATGACGCAACAGTTTCGAAACGTTTGAAAGCATTAGGAATGATCCAAAATCAAGGACATTGGGTGCCGTACGAGTTGAAGCCGAGAGATGTCAACCAGCGTCTTGTCACGTGTGAACAGTTGCTTCAACGGCAGAAAAGAAAAGTTTTTTTTTTGCATCGTATCGTGACCGAAGATGAAAATTGGATACACTACGATAACCCTAAGCGTAGATCGTGGGGTAATCTCGGCCATGCATCAACATCGGCGGTAAAGCCGAATATCCTTGGTTCGAAGCTTCTGTTCTGCCTTTGATGGGACCAGATGGGTGTAGTTTATTATGAGTTGCTCAAACCGACCGAAACCTCTACGGGAGATCGCTATCGACTACAACTGATGCGTTTGAGACGAGCATTGAAGAAAAAGAAGGCCGTTATACGAGCAGAGACACGGCAAAGTGATTTTGCAACATGACAACGCTAGGCAACATGTTGCAAATCGGAGGAAAACCTACTTGGAAACGTTAAAGTGGAAAGTCCTACCACAGCCGCTGTCCCGTCCGATTATCACCTGTTCCGATCGATGCCACATGGCCTGTCTGAGCAGCACTTTTATTCTTATGAAGATGCCAAAAAAAATGGATCGAATCGGGGTTAGCTTCAAAAGACGTGTCATTTTTCCGACGTAGAATTGAAATGCAGCCAGAAAGATGGGAATAGAGTAGTGGCTAGCGATGGGCAATACATTCAGTGACATATTTCTTACGAATTTTTGTAAATAAAACATTACTTTTCATGAAAAATCAGCGAGAACTTATTCAAGGTCCTAATATATATAAAGTGCTCGGCCAAAAAATGGACGCACCCATAGAAAGTCGATTTATGTATTTTTACGAAGACAAGTGAGTAATAGAATTCGTTAATACAGGTGTACATATGTACATTATACAAGTGAAAAATGATTTAGTATTTTGTTGGGTAACCTTTTGCTTTAATAACGGCCTTAATTCTTTGTGGTATGCTATAGACTAAATTCCTTATTAAGTCATTGTCCTTCACCAGAAATTTTCCAGCATTTCCTTTATTTCACGAAAAACCTCATCTTCTTTGTTAGCTTTCTTATTCACGGACATGTTTTTCAATTATTGTTAAAGGCCAGGAATCTGACTAATTGGGTTAAAGAATTCACCCTCGTCGTGTTTCTCTCTAGATAACGTTAATTCTTTTTTCAGTATGATTAGGATTTATATTCCTAAATACATACATACGTCGCAAAAAAAAAAAAAAATGGAAATCAGACATTGATGGTCATTTTTTTAAGGACATTCAATATTTCACACTGATGAGATTAATGATCACTGTCTTTCTATCTCTCAATCTATCTATCTATCTATCTATCTAAAATATTCTGTAAATTATCTATTTAAAATCTATTATCTATCTATCAATCGAATCGTCTATCTATCTGATGAGGGAACATTGATACTATCTATCTATCTATCTATCTATCTATCTATCTATCTATCTATCTATCTCAAATCTATCTATTATATCTATCTATTCTGTACTATTATCTATATCTATCTATCTATCTATCTAAATCTATTCATTGTATCTATCTATCTATCTATCTATCTATCTATGTCTATATTTGTGAGATGAGGTATTCAGATGTAGAATTCAAATACAGCCAGAAAGATGGTAAAAAGTAGTGGCTAGCGATGGTCAATACATTCAGTGACATGTTTCTTACTAATTTTTGTAAATAAAACATTACTTCTCATGAAAAATCATGTCTATATTTCTGAGATGAGTTATTATGTACACTATTTACATTATTCGGACTATTGTTTTCATCTTTGTCGCCATATTTATTACAACGTTTCGGCCGTTGTACACTCCAACCTTCTTCAGGTGGTTGGAATTTCGAACTGAACCCTTTATTTCGCTCACTAGGGTAGACTGTTCTAGTTCCACGTGCCATGTTTAATGGATGTCAGTTGTCAATTATCTCCTGTTAATTTCCCTCTCCAAGTTCTCCACTGCCTTAACCAGGTATTGAACTCACACCTGGATCTAACTAACGCCTTTATCCACTGTGCCATGTGTCCTTGAGGACATCTGTGTACGAATTTCTGGTTATTATAAACCTAATGTCTTCAGCCACTATTTTTTTACCAAAGCTCATATTGCAATTTTTGCTGGTATCATACATGTTTCTACCAGAGCTTATATTTGTAATTTTTGTTGTTATTATTGCTTTTCTCTGGCACTCCTTATTACTGGTTCCCATATTGTATTCATTTCTATGCTTGGTCGGCTCAGGAGATTTTTTGTGGCCTAGCATATGTGCTGATTCCTTAAGTTTACGAATTTTCCAATGGTGTTCTTTTGTCTATGATCTCAACCTGATCCCACAGAGGGCGGTGATCTCCTTTTCTCTCTCCATATGTGGTCAGCCACGCCTGATTTTTCCCCTCGTGTTACAGCTTTCTGGTTTCTCGTGTTTATATTTTCTTTCCGCAGCTGCACGGGATAAATACACAGGCTTTAGTCATGTTCTCCTTGGGGCGGGGGTCTTAAAAGATACATGGCACTTGATAAAAGGCCCTTAGATCCAGTGACAGGACCCATAGAGTGTGAGTTCAATTTCCGCATTTCTTGAATTAACGGGATAACTGACAACTGACATCCATTAAAACATGGCACATGGAACCATAGAGCGAAATAAAGGTTTTCATTCTTTGTTGGTGGGGGGACAATATTTTGCTTAAGATGAGGACAATAGTTCGAATAATGTAAATACTATATATATATATAATAAAAAGGTTTAAATACTAATATTAAATTGGTTATAATTTATTACAATGGAATCGGAATTATGATCTAATTCATCAACATACAAATTCAAAATTAAATTGGAAAAAACTAACTCCGGGAATAAAAATAAAATTTAGAGAGTGTATGTAGGGAATGAGGCAAATGAAAGGTTTAATAGGGTAACATTAAAATAAAGAATGTAAAATTTTTTTCAATAGGAAATTATACAGGATATATAACTATATAATATATATATATATATATATATATATATTAAATATATATATATATATATACTTTTTAAGGACACATGGATGAATTAGCTGTTCATCGCAACGAGAATGACCGGAATTTTTATAGAAAAATGCTATTCTAATTAAAAGAGAAAACAGTTCCTCAAGACGGTAATGCCTAGAAAGCGTTTTAATTGCTAGTTCAGTCACAGCAAATTTACGTCCAGTTTTCCAGCAACATTTCACCATTATTGGCAGGTCTTCTCTTATCAAAACATGGCGTATTTAATAACAAAGACGATGGAAACAATAAGAAAAAAACAATCTAAATGAAATTGGCTAGGTTAGATATATATATATATATATATAAAACAAGCAAATAAAATGCGCGCTACATCACGACCTGACATGCGCAAGTGAGATATTTGCGTGGTCGTCTATAACGATTTTTACGAGCGCGTCAATAACGGCAAACGCGTTCAGGAAACTTTCATTACGGATAGAATTAACTTAATGGAACGATCAATTAGCTTATCTTCATACCCTGCCTGGTGGCAAACGCTGCTGGTGGCGCCAGGGGTGGCGGTACCGCCATAGCCACCGAAACCGTGATATCACCCCTGGTCGGCGGCTGATGAAGACAGGGTATCGCACGTGCTAACACACGGTGTATGTAAAAAAAATAAAATAAAAGACATGATAAAAGAAACAAAACCCAAAACACATAAATAAAAAAAGATAAAAAAATGTTCCCCGCATCTCTCGTTCATCCGCTAGAAAAGGATTTTTGTGATAATAATGGCTTAATGATACACGTCTTACTAATTAACCCATAGCTGGGGGGAAGCGACAGCTTAATACACTTCCAAAGGCTATTCCCGCGTAAGTGAATGTAATGTATTCGACTGGAACTGGAACTCTGCTCAACAATCCCGAACCATTATCCATAACACTAATCGCACATCCAAGCTTACAGCTCCTGGTATTCTGAAGCGGTCACCCATCTAGATACTGACCAGGCTCGACGTTGCTTAACTGCGGTGATCGTACAGAAATCACTGTTTCATGCGTCTTCTCTTCGGAATTATTATTAGGCAAAAACGTTTGATAAAGTGCGTAACAAAGAACTGTTGAAACTGCTCGTTAACCATCACATATTTGGGGAGGATATTAGAACAACACAGAACCTATATTAGCAGCAAACAATCTGCATACATGTGGAAAATAAATTCAGTAAATATACAAAATTAGAAAGTGGGGTGTAAATCAAAGATGTGCTTTCTCATCGGATTATTCAACCTATATAGCAAGGCAATTATGAGAAAGTTAGAAGTACTACCAGGACTTATTACTGGTGGCCACAATCTTAACCCTTTGCCTGTCTAGGGCATTTTCATGTGTCCAAATATCCAAACGTCCATCCTTGTTTTCAGATTTATAACTATTGCAAGACAACTCAGCTTATTTGGCAAATAGAATGTGCTGGTATATAATGTTTCACATAATAAAAAACTGTGCGTCACATGTGATACAAAGATCGTACAAATCATTATTTACACTACGCTCTGGTCATCACATGTGATGCAAAGGTTATAATCATTTCAATAAAGGGGAAAAATAGATGTCTTTCATTTGAGACCTTAAATTATCAGTCAAGCATCTTGTGGTCATATATAATGCAAAAAATATAAGTTTAGGCCTTTCCTCATACGTCCTGCTCAATTGTAGACTCTTCTCTTAAGCGCCCTTAGTTTTACCACAGGACAGGCAAAGAGTTAAAATAAATCATTAAAGATGGGTGGAAATCAAAGATATGCTTTCTCATTGGATTATTCAACCTATATAGGGAGGCAATTATGAGAAAGTTCGAAGTCTTACCAGGACTTATTACTGGTGGCCACAATCTTAACCCTTTGCCTGTCTAGGGCATTTTCGTGTGTACTATCCAAACATTCATCCTTGTTTTCAGATTTATATCTATCGCAAGGTAACTCAGCTCATTTGACAAATAGAATGTGCTGGTATATAGTGTTTCACATGATAAAAACCTACACATCACATGTAATGAACAGAATCTACAAATCATAAGTTATTTACACTACACTCTGGGCATCACATGTGATGAAAAGTTTATAATCATTTCAATAAAGCGGAAAAATAAATGTCTTTCATTTGAGACTTTAAATTATCAGTCAAGCCTCTTTTGGTCATATATGATGCAGAAAATATTAGATTAGGCCTTTCCTCAGACATCCTGCACAATTGTAGACTCTTTTTCTTAAGCGTCCTTAGTTTTCCCGCTCTTTTAATATTCTTTTTTTAGAAATATACAATACAATAAATTGTTCGATTTTCCTTGCAGTGAATTTGTTTTATAAAGTAATTCTTTGTAGTGATCACTTACTTTATGATGGTCAGCATAATGTGTTTATGAGTTCATAGACAAAGGCTATCATCTCTTTCATTTTTTACGTGTCTGGGTACGCATGTGTAGATCAAACTGGGCTCTGAAATTGTTTTTGATCCATGAGAAGACAGATTCTGATGAGAAAAATAGGTGTCTTTCATTTGAGACGTTACAATATCAGTCAAGAGTCCTGTGGTCATATATGATGCAGAAAACATTAGATTAGGCCTTTCCTCAGACGTCCTGCTCAAAAGTGGACTCTTTTCTTAAGCGTCCGTAGTTTTACCATTCTTTTTGTCTTTGGAACTTTCCCCTTTTTATTTTTATTGCCAATTTAAATAGTTTTTTTTCTTTTCTTTTCCTTCATTTCATTTTAATTCTTACCTCTTAATTCTTCTTTTTCTTCGATTATCTGAAAACAGGCAGACGTCCTGCTCAATAGTGGACTCTTTTCTTAAGCGTCCTTAGTAAGAACCTCAACATCTGTACTGTGTCGTTATTTTCTGTTCGTATTTCATGTGCTATCCATTTTAGTTGTTGCTGCTCTTGGTAGTCCTCAAAGGATATGGTTTCTGTTAATCGATAAAGTTATTTGTGATTCTGTAGCGCCAGTTCATGAAGTTCGAAGAGATATTGTCATCGCTGAGATCTACACGTCCTGGGTATGATGATAAACTACATCCGTCAGCAAGGCCTCTTATGAGGAGCGTGGAACCATCTCTTAATTGCTGCTGTTCACAGGTCCACCCTGACACGGGCTGGTAGCACATATTAAGGTCCCACCAATGGGCAAATAGTTAACCCTACCCCGAACTTAAGCGTTCTTAGTTTTACCCCTCTTTTAAAATCATGGCTGGTGTTCACCACATATCATGCACGGGCATAGAACTCACATGTTTTGTGCATCACATATGATACGTACGACAGGCAAAGTGTTAACGGCATAAGACATGCAGACGAGACGGTGTTCTGATAAAAGAATTATTTAACTGTTTTTATTTAAGTTTTAATTCTTTTTTTCTTTATTTTAAATTTTCATTTAAATTATTTGTTTTTTCTTTGGCACTTCCCCATTTTTATTTTTTTTTATTGCCCATTTAAATAGTTTTTTTTTTCTTTTCTTTTCCTTCATTTCTTTGTAATTCTTACCTCGTAATTCTTCTTCCTTTTCTTCGACTATTTAAATTTTCTCTTTATATTTA